CTGGCTTAAAATCTTAAATTTTATTTTTATATTTTAGAGGAAAAGAAACTTAATCCCTTTGGACCCGGGCTTATTGGGCTGCATTTCTATCAATTTTTTGGGCAAAAACAGCTTTAATGAACACCAAAGAANGGCTTATTGGGCTGCATTTCTATCAATTTTTTGGGCAAAAACAGCTTTAATGAACACCAAAGAAAAATTGAAAAATGGGATACGAAAGAAAATTTGACTTTTTTAGAAATACTATAAATGATTCTAAGAGTTTTTTTATTTTGACTTTTTTATTCTTTTTTCAAATTTCTGTTTCACACCCAAAAAAAATCAATTTCAAATAGGCACAATGTTAGTTAATTAGGGTTAAAATATGAGCTTACAATTATAACTTTGGGTTAGCTTGATTGTAAGTCGATTTAGGGTTAAATTTATAATTTGGAGTTACTTGGATTGTGTGGCGCTTGCGGAACTCGCTATCCCAGTATCCCCCGCTGGGTCGGTCTTGATGGGTCTGTAGTGGATTATCCAACACTCTTACCATTAGAGGTGGTAATTTTAACACATTACCCATTAATCCACCCAACTCACCCATAAATAAATAGGTTGGGTATATATATTAATTAATATGGTTTTTAAACGGGTTGGGTAATATGATTCATTTTAATTAAACGGGTTAATATAAATTATAAATGGGTACCATTGGGTTGAATATTTATCTTTTTATTAAATAACAGAAGTAATAAAATTAAATAAATATACTAATATACCAAAAAATACACACATTATTACACCAAAAAATACATACATATACATTAATATATCAGAATATATGCACACTAGTACACAAAAAATACACACACTAACACACCACCCATGACCCACGGATTGACTCATGATCCATGAGTTGACCCATAACCCAACCCGTTATAAACCCAACCCATTTACTAGGTGAGTGAAAAATAGATTTGATTTATTTTAGCCTAATCCAATTTAATTCAATCTATAACCAACTCAACCCACACATTTGTCACCCGTACTTACGGTAGTATGGACCGTGGGCTAGCCACCTAGCTTTGCACTAGCAAATACTAAACAGAGAGTCTATTTGAGAATTATCAACATTTTTGTTCAACAAATCATGCTCACGACTCACGAGGTAGGCGTACTTCAAGCTTAGGTTTGGCCAACCAACTCCCACATGGTTGAAGAAATATATATATAATCCCTTTCCAACTAATTAATGAATTTTTGGCTCACCCACGATCATATGCCAAGGAAGAGTCAATAAGAAATTGACAGCATAACAATATTTAGGATCCTTGCATTTAGGAAATTGTTCGTCTTGTTTCGATAACAATTTTGTGATAGGTTACAACAATACCATACTAATGCTACATGAAAATAGTTTATTGAGGTTGACTATTACTTTGATATGAATTTAAAATTGGCATAATCAACTAACAAAAATATTAAATAAACCAGTTAGTGTTAAACACAGGTAATTCGATTGTGACACGAAAAATCTGTTTATATATTATTATATCAACAAAATGTTTGATTTTTTTAGATTTATTTCATTCTTGATTGTAGGAATCATTGAGAAATTAGAGGGTTTTACTTCATTTTGCTAACATTTGAATGGAGTGGATTTTATTTTATGGGGACGTATGGGTGGTAGGTTTAGTTTAGAAGAAGGGGTTTTAGTTTGTCTTGAATTTTCTGTTCAGGTGTAATGTTTGTCATGTCATGGTTGACTAGTACCCCGTACGAATCCGAGCACAAAATAATCGGACACGAAAATACGATAAATAATAATTCGAGAATTTGCACCTCTATTTTTGTATTCTGATTTTTGAGCCTAATCCAGTCAATTTCGCTTCTGATTCGCATTTTTGTCACTTATTCCTGAATATGTTCTTTTATTGATCATCTTAATATTCTGTTTATAGTCTTGTTGAGTTTGTTGTATTGTTAAATCTGACTAGTGTTTTGGGGGATATTGCAATCCCTTTCAAGATTTCCAATCAGTCAAGCCAACATACATCCCATACTTTTTTAAAATTTTTCTCGGAAAGACGTTTTTCGATACTATTTTTCAACATCATCTCCAAAGATGCCCAAAAATTTTGCAAAGTTGCCTCGTTCCGTCTGAGCTAGTCACAAAAAAGAATACAATCAACTCAATTTTCATTCTATCAGGATCTGAACATTCCTCAAGATGCACTTCTCTCCTTCACCATCTTCCCTTCACTTCATCCTGACAATCATATTGATTTCAATGATAACCCCGACGTTTCTATGTGCTAACGAAGTCCGATATGAAAACTGTGGGGAAAATTTTTCATGTGGAGGCATCAGCAGCATCAAATATCCTTTCTGGGGAGCAAATCGTGCAGATTACTGTGGAAAACCAGGATTTGAGCTCGAGTGCCATGATAACGTACCCCTGATCACTGTCACGTCAGAAAAGTATCGAGTTCTCGCTATCGCTTCCCAACTACATAACCTCATAGTCGTTAGAGATGATTTCTGGAACAACATATGTCCTGCACGTTTGGTTAACACAAGCCTCGAGTCCACAGTCTTCAGCTATGCTTTTGGGCTTCGGAACCTGACATTGTTCTATGGTTGCACTTACAACTCAGTACCTATTTTAGGTAATTCTAGTAAGTATGACTGTGGCGTAAACAGTACTAACTCCAACCTGTTCTATGTGACAACAAATATAACGATCGATCCACGCTGGGGGATGAGCTGCAATGATACTGTCATTGTTCCGGTTTTTGAAGGGAGTGCTAGAGCTCTGGAGGACAATTTTACGAATCTTGGTACAGTAATAGATGGGGGTTTTGAATTGCAGTGGAATGAGAGTGACCAATGCAGCAAATGTGTGGAATCAGGCGGGGAGTGTGGATATAATCGAACTGAAAATCAATTCACTTGCTTTTGCCATGATCAACCATACTCAAATGCATGTCTGACTAGACCAGGTATGTCTGCTTTCAGATATATTTGACACTACAAGCAAAATTCATCTGGCGTTGACTACAACACACAGGCCATGAGGCTAAGAATCCCTAAGATATTATGTTTCATTTAGTTCATGTGCAAGAGCCATAACATATTGTGGGCTGAAAATTAAGAAGGCAATATAGTCGGAGACGGACCGAGTCCGTAATAGGGTAATATCGTCGGGTAATCGGGCCACCCGAGAAGAGCCATGGCCTCCCATGGCCACAGCATGGTTCTGTCCATGACTATTTTGGTTGTGTATTCAGAACTTAAGCTTATGACCTATTGAGACCCAATATGAATGCTGGAAACAGGGTAATACTTATGACATGGTACTACTAAAAGGTACATAATCCTGGTTACCTACTTTGGTGGCCACCATTCTCTTTTTCTCCCTTGTACTTACCTAAAGAGTAAGGTGTAGAGAAATTGAGCTAAGTCTTCTAGTTCCCAAATTTACTTTAATCATACCTAACTACTCATTTCTAATCGTGTTTAGTCAAGGTCATTCATAAATTATGTTTAGTTTGATTCATGACGTGCTCAACCAAATTTATATTAATTCATTATTTGACGAATTTATTTTTGTTTATTACTCCTAACCGCTATGGTTAAAACCTAAACCCATCAATTCCATGCCCATTTCATATTAGGTTCGCAGGTCTTCGGTTGCATTTCCTTGTCATGAAACTTAATGTTATTGTGATGAAGGTGCAGCAAGGGTGTTGAAACATTCATACTTGGGGTCCACTTGTTAGCTTCCATAGACAGATTTTGTTGTCTCTGAAGATGGACTTTGTTGCTTTGGTTCATTAGTCAACTAGCCTGACTTCACTGCACCCACCATTTATTTCCTTGACATTTCCATATCAGCCTGGAAAATTCACCCCGTTTGGCTCCTATAAGTTTCATCCTTCACAACTATTTGATTGGTGTAACTAATACATCCTCTGCTTTTCTGTTTTCTTTTTGGTGAATGCTTTAATACGTCGTCAGAGTCCACCGTGTGAATCCTTTTAAAATATTGGTGATACTTTGTCTTAGAAACAACTTAGAGAATTAACTTAAGAAACTACTACATGTGTGAAAATCTTACATCAGATAGAACAAGAATTGAAATGCGTCTGAATGTAAACTTATAGACTTAAACTTTTAGGTGGTTATGTCTTCCAAATATTTTTTCGATATATATTTCACAAAAATTTTCAGGATAATTTGCTGTTATTTTATCAAGTTTCGTGTTCTACAAACATGGTCAGACTATGAATTTAGATTTTCGGTAGGGGCGGCATGCATTCTATTTAAACTTGGTCAGCTATTTTTTCAATTTCCAGTAGAAGCTTCTCTTAGAAATGTTTTACAAGGTGGCTTAGCAGTCAAAGATCATTTTCTTCCTCTTATATCATCGTCATTCATGGGAAAACAAGACTTTTTCATCTCCTTCAATTTCAGATCTCCATCCCCAAATTTTACTTGGATTGCACCAAATTCGTCTAAAGTCATCTCTCTCTCTTTCTCTCTCTCTCTCAAAATCAAAAATGCATCCCAATCTCTTCATGATCATGATCGGAATCTCTATTTTCAGCCACCTTCCTATGTTTCTGTGTCAAGACAACGAGCAATATACAGCCTGTGGTGAGTTGTTTGAGTGTGCGAACATTCAGGGCATCGGTTATCCTTTCTGGGGACAAAACCGGCTACCATATTGCGGCCACCCGCGTTTCAGGCTGAATTGCCAAGGTGATGCCCCCATAATCACAATCCTGTCAATGGATTTCCGAGTCCTGGCTATCGATAACAAAACGCAAACTCTCACAGTTGCTAGACAGGATCTGTGGAACAATATTTGTCCAATCTTTCTTTACAACACCACCATGGATTTCAACATCTTTAGCTATTCAATCCGCCAGCGGAACATCAGTCTTCATTACGGGTGCACCAGATTTCCAGTACCCTTGCAAAATCAGTTTGATTGCAATGTGAACAGCACCCCCAGTTCTAGTTATTTCACAATGGGAGAAACACCCAACTTTGTCATCAACAATACCACAATTACCTGCAATAGCAATGTTATTGTTCCGGTTAATGAGACCTCGACTGAGATATTGTCAAGCCTTTCGGCTACGACAAATAATCTAACAGCAGCTCTTGACGGTGGTTTTCAGTTGCAGTGGGATGCGAATAATATGTACTGCACCCAGTGCAACGATTCTGGTGGGCGATGTGGGTCTGACTCAAGCAACACATCCTTTGCTTGCTATTGTTTAGATGGATCATATGCTCGCACCTGTCGTAATACGGATCAAACTGGAAAGGGTATGTGTCTCTAATCTTGTGGTTAGTCTTATTTTGAGTTCAAGTAGGAATTAGTTGAAAGTTAAGCTGCTAAGGCACAGGATCAGTTCAGATTGTTGGCTGGACATTGGTCTAGTCCTCGAACTTCTTATGCCATATAGACAACATTGTATTGTAGATCAAATTGGAGGGCATCTGATTTTCAAGTTCTCGGACTTGGAAACACAGGCCCTGGAATTTGCCAGAACTTGGCCTGGTTTTGAGGATTGCATCTATGGGTGTAGATAGTATGCAATCCAATTAGACCAAGTTAATTTGCATCTTGACTTGGAAGGATGGCAATTTTGATGTTTGGGGAATGGTTTAGAGACTCAACTTGTGTCTGACACAAATCTGCACTTTTTTGTTCCAAAACTACTCTGCACTGTGTATACCACGAGTTTCACTCGACTTGTAATTGACACAAAACTATTTTAGTCAACTCGTATGAATCATCATCATCTACTCAAAGTATCAGCATTCCGACGCTGTGATACCTGAATCCATCATTTACTATGTCCAACTTCTTCTTTTATTCATTAGATTTAGTTCCATGATATTGTAATCGATACGTCCCTGTGCCTTCCGAGTTGAAAACACCAGATCTTGAACCATCCTTGTAAAGGCAGTGGAGTTGCTTGGGTCTGTTTCTGAGCCCTATGTGAACATTTTAGAAAACACCCTCAAGTACCATGGGGTGTTAAAAGTCCTGTCTGATCATACTCTACCGTGCACCATTAGTTCCTATCCTTGTTTTCTAGTCCAACCCTTCAACTCCTAGTGCTTAGCTTCATCACCTCAAAATCAGGGTTTATACACTAATCAATTCTCCTTACTGCTGTTAGCATGTTCCTCTTTTAGCTGACTAGTCAACCAACCGGCCTAAATGGACATTTTACGGGCCTTAGTTGGGTTTTATCCTTTATTATGTGGATTGAATGTAAACTCCGGAAAAGTTTAAAAACCATAAGCTATGATACTAAAGTTGAAAATTTGGTTTAAAATATATAATCAAATATATGAATGTGGACAAATTATATCAATACAGGATTGTGATTGAGATTTTAGAGTTTTTGAATGTCAATGGTCTCACTTTAAGTATCAACAATTTCCTTTTAAGGGTAGTTTTTTTTTTTTTTTT